TGAGGCGCCTACCCACTCTGGCCGGGGCGGCGGTGTAGCAGCAACAGGCTGGCAGGTAAGGGCCTCCCCACCCTGCGCCGGCCCCGTTTAACCACCACGGCTGCGGCCCTCACGCCTGGTCAGTGTCTGGCCGGCAGCAGGTGCCAGAACATGTGCGGTTCCTGAAAATGGCTGACTCGAGAAGCTAGATAAGACCCCGAGTCCTGCCTGACCCCGATCTCGGGGTCCTTTTCCTGCCCCTCACTGAAGGCCCTTGCAACCCCCGTTTCTAGCCACGTTGGAGAGGACGGGCAGGGACCCGGGTGCAGGGCCACGTACCCGGGCGTTGCTGGCGGTGAGCCACGTGGGCTCCACGGCCCGGCGGGTGATGGTGCCGGCCGTCACCACCTGGGGCAGGATGGCCCCGTAGCGGTTTTCCTCATCGTAATCTGGGTGCCTGGGGGCAGGGGAGAGCATGGGCCTCAGCAGCCTGCTTTGGTTCTAGGACCGCCCGCCCCCACTCCTGTCCCCCAACCACTGGGCAGGCCGTACCTGGTCACAGCACGGGGCAGAGCCGACCTGGGCAGCCACACCACCATCTGGGAGCTGGGGGACAGACAGGCCGAGGCTCACCACAGCCCCCGGGGCAGAACCCAACCCTCCCACGGGGCCCTCACTGCCCACTTCAGGCTGCTCGCGGCCACCTGGGGCCCTAGAATCTACCAGGCAGGAGCCTGTGCCATCTGAGAACCGGCCAGCAGCCTCTGCCCTAATCCCAGAGCACCCGTGCGGCGTCCACCCGCAGCCTGGTCCACGCTCAGGGCAGACGCGAGCCATCAGCACTCTTCCCGCCCTGGGCTGCGGGCAGCCCCCACCTGGACCCAGCCTTCAAGGTGAATCCATTTAGCATGCCCAGCCCCCAGCAGAGGACAGCCCTGGTGCTCAGCAGTTACACTGGGGGGTCCTTTTAGAGCTGGGAGGCGGGGGGTGGGGGGACATCGGGGTCCTACAGTACCATTCTCTATATAAACAGGGCAGCTGAGGCTGGAGAGGGAGGGGGACTTGCCTGCGGACACACAGCACCAGGACTACAAGTAGCCGGGCCTCCAGACCACAGCGGGGCTGTCTGCTCAGCACAGGCTGAGCCAGGGGCCCGGGGGGAGGCGGGGAGGGAGCCCAGGCTGCAGGAACCTGCCAGGGGCAGATGGGCACGTCTGTCCCCCGCGGTGCCCACCTGATCCGTTTGTGGGCATTCCTCCAGAAAGAAATCATCTTGTTGATTTCCAAGGCCCGGGGCCCGCTGGCGCCTCCCGGGCCTGCCTGCAGGGTCCTGTCCTCCA